ATTCTCAGAACGAGCTCACATTAATAGGTGCGTAAGACTGGCAACCTTGATGGTAATCGCTCACTGCAGCTATGACCGGCAGTGAATACTTTCTATAGAGAATGACCAATGGGATGATTGACGGGGGCCTGATAGACATTGGGGTGGCGATGTGGGTGAGCTCAGCAATATAAATGAAACAGCGCGCAAAAGAACAAAGACGGGAGAGAAGTATGCACGGGAGCCGAAAGTTAAAGTTAAGCGCTCGTACTGTGTGCTGCGTCTTTCCCGCCCTCGTTGTTCCTTACGCTGTTTCATATATCGCATAGAAAGTTGCAAGAGTCGTGATGAGTCGCTACGCATAACTCGCGGGTAAAGTTGCAATTCGGATAAGTTTCCCCGTTTCTTTAAAGAGGACTTCTATGAGTGGGAAAACTTTACGTAAATTTGTGTGAGGCAGGAGCCTCGAATAGCTCAAAGTCGCACGAAGCAGCGTCGTGATTCAATAGGTTTTGCGTCGCTTGTTTTGAACGTCCACTGTACCTGCACGGTGTGCCTCTAAAAAAATATACAGATTTTCGTTTTTCTGATAAACTAAACAACGCATTTCATATCGCTAATTATCCACCCAAATGTTGCGCTAGCGGTTCGAACCAGAGGCCAAAGTTTCAGAAGTAACCGTCATGTTATTAAAAAGTTACACTTTGTTTTTTAAAATTTTCTATGGGAAAATGGCGGCCGGCGGTGACCTCAAATACATGGAGCTGGATGGCGCCAGTGGCGAAGAATAAGCCCGATTTTACCATTGCAATTTAAAAAAAAAATCACTCATAGATTTTGAATTAGGTAACGGTTAGTTCTGAAACATTGTCTCCTAATTCGGACTGCTAACGGTACTGTTTGGGCGGGTAATGAGGGTTCGACAATGCGTAGGCTATTGATGCTTTGAAGCAAACACAATTTTTTTTTTAGGAGGGGGGGGGGGGGGGGGGGCACACGCTCTATATGAGCGTGTATCTATATTTGCAGCAGAATTAATTAATTTGAAGAAGACGGATTCACCGAAAGTCCTAGCAAAGTTGGATCTTCGATTACTGTCAAGTATATTGAGTATATTTTTTATTGGCATGCTTCGCGCTGCTTTTGTTGAAGCAGAAGGCTTGAAAATCTAGGCGCCAAAAACTGCGTCGACGTGAGGAACGAGTTTTACCGCCGACTACATAGGGTAGAAAAATATATAAAATTGGGACAGGCACGTGCATGACTAATAACTGCAGGTACTGCGTCACGTCATCTGCATCCGCTTTGCTGCGACTTCTATTTTTTTAAGCAGGGCCTAGGATATACCGGACAGACGATTACCGCAATACGGCAATAACCCTAATTTCTAAATATAAGTGCGGTTTTCTTTTGTGTTGTACCTAGAGCGATTGTTGCAACAAGAAATGAAGCATAGCTTTAACTTCAACTCCCAGTCAGGTTCAAAAATCAAAGGAAAAGATCAAGCACATGCGCGGTAGTGTGAAAAACTCTATATGAGGAAGAAAAAAGAGAATTGCGTCAAAGTAAAGGCTAGTCCAGACTCTTTCGAATGCGTACGACCGTATGCCGTCAAACCTCTTGTGATCTCTTACGACGAGAGAACACGCTGGTGCAATCTATCGCGTAGCCGTGGAACACTTGACATTGCCGTATACTTTCTGTTTCCTTTGGCGTATAGTTAGGGTTCGGAGTTTTCGCTTTAAACCGATAAAAACCGATAAAAGTACGCCGAATATATTTTCGGAAATTCGGCTTTAACCGAAAGAGGTTAAGTTTTTGGTTCGGAATTTTCGATTTAAACCGATAAAAACCGATAAAAGTACGTCAAATCCATTTTATAAAATTCAGTTTTAACCGGAAAAAGTCACTTTGACCTTCCAGTCGTACCGCAGAGCCGTAGCGAAAACGTGGAACGACAGTGTCTATCGAAACGTGTCCGAAGGAACGGGATTCACGGATGCCATCACGACGTTTTGGTTTAATGTGCGCATCATCGATCGGAACGTAAAGTCCGATATACCCCATGACTTCGCCATGTACGAGCGTGTTTTCAAACTCATTGTAAGGAAGACTGACCTGATGCAAGCTCTGCATGTTGTGTTGTGCTTCAAAACGTCGCACACATTGGCCGATTTTGGCTGAGGCAGTACTTCATCTCCTCAGCCTGCCAGTGTCTAGTGTTAGCGTTGAGAGGGCATTCTCGAAGCTCAGGGTCATATTAACAGGAAAGAAAGAGTGCGGATCAACGAGGAGAACATGGGAAAGTACATGCGTGTGAACTATAATAAGATAACGTAATCCTGATGTACAGAAGGTGAAGTTCCATGTTTTTTGGGCATAAGCTTCACATCTGACTTGTCTGTACTTCTGTGTTTTTTTCTTGTTTCTTTTACAGTTGCACACATTTGCCAAATAGAGTGTCCATTTCTTTTTCAATGTATCTGTGCCGTTATTCTTTGAGTGATCACAAATATCAGAGCTACAAGGATCATCTGATCCGGTGTCCGTTGGTGTTTATTTTATATTCACTGAAAAAAGCCGATACAATTTTGTGGGCATAAATATACACCGAAAAAAACCGAAAATTGAAATAAACATCGAAAAAATACGCCGAATTTTGAATAAATAGAACCCGAAAACGCGGAACCCTACGTATAGTCCTTGGCTTTCTTTTTTTTTTTTCTTCATTTCCTAGAAATAATTTTTGAGTATGTTATAAATGACCATTTCTCATGGATAGTACGTACATTGACCTTGGAAAAACCGCCAGCTAGGATCCCTAGCAATTTCAGGGGGCTCCTGAAGCTCTAGACTCGCCATACACAAAGTTATATATTTGAAAGTTTGTGGAACACGCCGTTTGGACTTCGGCGGCAAAAGTGCGGCGTCATCATGACGGCAGTCCAATCAGTGCACTCCGGAAACTTCGAATCCAACATCGGAACGATCTATTCAAACCATTCAATAATGGCTGTCGCCGTAGAAAAACATATTAAAGGAAGATTCACTGGTGGATTCTTAGGGAGTGTGTTAGCGTGATATTTTCGAAACACCACAAACGTCCCTTTTTGAGAACGCTAACACTGTACACTTTAATTTTCCGTTTCGGCCTTCTCTTTTGCTTCCTCTATTTTTCGCTGCCTTTTTTTGGCTTCATTACGGGGTCAGAGTTAGCGTTTCCCAAGGGGTGACGTGTGTGGAGTTTCCCAAGGGTCATGCTAACCGATTCCCTAAGAACCTACGAACGGATCTTCATGTAATTTTTTTTCCGCCTACTTGGATTAGCGCTAGTACTTGGTTCACGCTCTATTTTGTAGCGCAAGCCAAGGCATATACGCCCCCCGCACACCTGCAAGTTCAGACTCACCCCAGCATCCGCGCGCTCATTGGCTTCCGCCTCGTGACGTGGTCTCCCTCTCGCCTTTGTCCTTCACTACTACTGTTTCGTCCACAGACAGACGCCGCCATATTTTGTCTGTTATGTGAATACTCATGCTAACGGATTAGAAAGAAAGTGTCTGATGTCTGAAAACGTATGAAAGGATCACAGTTGCATAACCCCGATGTTTTACGAATTCGGATAACTGCCAGGAAGATAAAGGGTTTTAGTAGATTGTTTCGATGACTCCGGTAAGCGTCCCGATAGCGATAGGGGTGGACTATTGGGAATCGTTATCGGAGTTATCGGAACGATTTTATAAATCGTTTTGATGTACTAGTTAACTCACAGGTGTTACGACCCTGCGACTTGAATGGCCAGATACTATGGTCGAGGCTCTCACACAGTACCAGGCGTCCGCGAGTAAAAACAAAAACCTGTTTTTCGGCCGGCGTTAATAAACTATGCATCGCAGAAAGCTTAAAACTTTGTGAGAATATGACGCTATTCGTCGGAAAAAAACGCGAAAGTATGATAATAGGACGTTACCTGGATCAAAAGATAACTGAGAAAGACGAAATTTTCCTATAAGCCGAAGTTGTCCATTTAAACCTAATATTGTCAAAACAAGGACTGTGATGGTGGATGCATGTGGCATTTATATCAGTAAGAAAGCACTTATCATCGAGAAAGAGAATATTGTTTTCTTTGTTGGAGACAAGTTTTCTTCTTGTTTTTTTTTTTCTCCACTGGAATAGACCTGGCTTTGCCTCTTGGAATCAAACACCAATGTACTGCCTTATCGAATTTGCGACCTTACATGTCCAAATCATATGTTACACTTGAATTTATTAGATGGTTTATACTATAGCGAAGGCTCTTCACACAAAAGTAAAAAACCAGAAACAAAACTGCCTTTCTGAGAAAATCGATGTTCAAATTTGTACTTCTTGAGATACCTAGCTCTCATATTGAAAGTCATTTTTTGTTCAGATAAGTCAATTTAACTATAACGACATTGTACTTGTTGAATACGTATTGGTTTAAGCTTTTGTTTGATATATATTTATGCCGCAGACTTGCATGTAACAAACGTTAGGTCATTCAAACCATGGAAATTATTGTCAAGAATGCTAGATTCTGGATTTTGTTTTTACAAAAAAAAAAAAAAAAAAAAAAAAAAACTAGAATAGAACACATTTTATGAAAAATTTTTGCTTTACTGTAGTAAAAAACAACAACAACAACAACTTGCATGACGATCGCCAGAATTCCGAAACCTGCCTTTGGTTCTTTAAAAGACCAAAACTAGAGAACTAAAAAATATGACGTAACAACGGTTTTCAGTTTCGTCTTAGTAAAAAGTTTGCCATGTATTTGTATTTTATTAAAAAAAATTGAGACATTATTTTTTGACAATCAGAAATTATATTGCCAAGATATGAATGCCCCATTTTGTGCAGCTTTTTATTATTTAGTGCATTTGTCGTTTTTGCTGTAGTAAAACGGTAACAGGAAACATACCCAAAATGATAAACGTCATGCACTGTAGAAGCGCCGTTCCCGGAACTAGACAATACCGATACAACAATCACGTCGGTTATACCTCTACTCACAAAAAACATTTTATTGAACGAGCATTCGCTGGCTGGAGATCTATTGTCACTTAGCAGCAGCTGTGCGTGGACGCCACCATAAGCGACCTTCAGTTTTGGTATCCTCTTCTTCCGTTTACTTCACTTCATCACTACCATAGCAGCCCAGGTCATCGCCATCATAGATTCTATTGCGTCCTTCTCCCCAGCATGGGCCTTTGTAGAGGCTCGTCAACGCCCGTTTTAGTGGCTTGGCATCTCGGTGAGACAAGAGAAGGTCAACAATGGCGGATGTAATCTGGTCCGTGGGCAAAAAGTCCACAGTGTTCGCAGGAGTGGTTCAGACATCGCAGTCGCTTATCCTACGGAAAAAAATATATTAAAGAAGCAAGCACTCCCAAAGTGGACCACGTAACCGGAGCTGGGGTGAAGCCACTGTTGTAACAGTGGCGCACGTCGAGAACGGCGAGGAAGTAGTTTTCCAGGACGTCCCTCCCTGAACTAGCGGAGGGAGGACAGCCAACCGTCGCCGTCAGCCAGCAGTCCATTTTGTTTCTAATGAACCTGCCGAAGAAAGAACAACACAAGGGAACTGTTAAAAGGATGCCCTTCAAACTAATCCACTCTTGTGTGTGTGTGTGTGTGTGTGTGTGTGTGTGTGTAGGTTTGTGGATTTACGAAAATTGGGTATCGCGCCCTCCATCTTGGTGGCGATGGATATGGGTTTGTGTTTTCGGTGTATACCGACGATCCCCGAGTTGTAACTACCAAGCCAAAATTACAAAAAAAAGGAGGAATCTTTTTTTTTTTTTTTTTTGTAACTGGAGTTGCTTGTTTTGGGTTAATCATTAGTTTAATTTTGTGACGACCCGGATCAAAGCTTGCATCCGTCAGCGCCCTTTGTTTTTCTGCCCACAAAAAACGAGCAAAAAATGACAGGAGGACGCTTAAGCTTCGCCTTCAAGAGTGGAACGCAATAGCTGTACATATAAACTCCCACTCGTTCCCAAGCCGTGCAAGCGTGTCTGCGTATCTGGCTCGCAACCGAAAGGTCCTGGGGTCGAATCCCACCTAAACACCTTCAGATTTTTCTCTAAGGCGAATGAATTACTTTATACAGTAAAATCATTTGAGACATACGGCAACGTTTCATTCGCATTTCATTTCATGTTTTTCCAATCACTTTCATTCCACGCGTGACGTCACGTTTCACGTGAGCGTTGTGGGTTGTTCGAAATTCCCGCGCGACGTCATGTGGCTGTGACGTCATGACTCTATGGACCAATCAGGATTTTCCCGTCCCATCCGCGCCGACGCCGGCCTTTCTGCGATACGAACGCCTTAACACTATCGCGTTAAAACTCACCCTATTGCTCAACATTACATCTCGCCGCATTAGGTATCGTACGAAGCACGCTGTGCTTCTGTGGGCGAAGTGTTTTCCCGACAGGTTACCAGGCGCAGGGCGTGGCTTACGATTATGTTCGCCCTACTCACTACGTGACTGGTTCATCGGCCTTCCATACCCTTCAATGCCGCCATTTCATTGGCTGCGGAGCTTTAATGAGATGCTCGGGACTGGGCGCAGCTGTCAATGGCTGTTCCGCTCTTCATATCAATAGGGAGTTCTAGGGAACCGTTTTCGCACGTCCGGTACGGTTTACGATAGGCCCTCCCGCACCTAACTGCGCATACGCCACCGCAGAACACTCGCACATGCGCAGTTCGTGCCGTACGTAACACTGTCTGCAAACACGTAACGTGTCTGCAGACAGTTTCTACGTGACCGTCAGACAAGTGACTGCAGACGGTCGTTTGCACGATGTACATTGACAGTGTGACTGTGGCTCGAGGGCGTAAGGGCCTCATGGGATACCTGCAGCCGACGTCTTCTTCGAAGGCTTGCGGATAAACTTTCTCTTCACACGTCTGCCTGATCTCGCCGTCGACGCACCTGTTCAGCTCAACCAAGCCTGAAATAAAACAGCAACACGCTCACCGCTTCAACCTGAACAATGCTCGTAAAACGAAATTGATTTGATATGTTGGATGCGGAGTGCAAGTTCGTCTGCTTCCTGCGCAGGGGTTGCATTGACGTCAGAATGTCGAGCTCTGATTGGCTCTGATCGAAAGGATTGTGGGAAGACTTCAATGGTAGCTGCCTTCGGGTCTACCCACTATTCAGCCAAACGGAGCCAATCAGAGCTCGCTGTTCTGACGTCACTGCAACCCCTGCGCAGGAAGCAGACGAACTTGCACTCCGCATACATTAATGTTGATTTAGTTCTTTCACGAAAGAAAAAGGTATTTGAGATATTTTTAAGCGAGTAGTTGATATAAATGTTTGCGTAATACACAAACAAACAAACATATAAAACGTATAATCTTGTAATTATTTAGGTTTGTAAATGCGAAACAACAAACCACATAAATGTTGGGTCCTCCGCCAGATTGCACCGGATCGTTTTAAATTTCCGCGCATGCGCACAATAGCTAGAATTCGGTCATACTTTTGTCGAAATTTACTTTAAAAGCTCGAAAAATTCGAACCTGGTTCTACTCGAATCTCGGAAGGCTTGGGACATCTTTACAATGACCACACGAGCTTAGGGTGCACCGCTACTTCTAAATTCTCTTTCACTCTGTCCTTTAGTTCGCACGTGGTTTGATAAGAACAGTAATCTCTTAGTTGAGATGAACCTTCTGCCGTAAAAAGAGAAAATATCGGGGGCACTCGTAAACAGGTCACCAAAAAGATTAAAAGGCAAATATTTCGAAACAACACAGTGTTCTTCGACGTGTATAGGTTTGCACCGGCTCGGGACCAAAGTTATTTTTTTTTATATATATATATATTAGCGAGTTTTAGAATAGGAGGCCCCACAGCTTTGGGTACCCCAAACAGCTAGGGGCTTCGCAATGGGCATGCGCAGAAGTTCTGCGCGTGCGCACTGGGATGCCCCAAGCTGTTTGGGGCACCCAAAGCTGTGGGGCCCCCTATTCTAAAACTCGCTATTAATGTACCTCTTTTGGAAAGGTAAGACAGCGGCCTTGGGAAGGAACGTTTGGGTTTTTACTTGCGTTTTTGTGCAAATTGTTGTTGTTGGTGGTGTGGCGGAGGGGGGGGGGGGGGGGGGGGGGAGTGGAGTAAGGAGATGGACAGATCAAAGGGGCTGCTTTAAATGCAGTGAAATGAGTCTAGAATATCTTTACGGTTTGTAAAGTTAAAACAGGGTAATAATAAAAAGCAATTTTTTTATAAATATATGAAAACACAAGGTCTGGGTAAATCAACCACTATAGCGATATTAGCCCGAGACTGGGCAGAAGAAAGAAGTTTACAGTGAAAAAAGATTACCGCTGTGTAGTTTTTCCTTCTGTCCCGACTTTCAGCAAACCGTTACCGTGTTTCGCGTATCACACTACCGGTGCCTTAGCAGCATGCTTTTAAGCGCGGCGGGGTATACCATGTCAGCGGAGCGCGCGCTTAAAAGCATGCTTCAAGGGCTCTGTCCCTGTCTCGGGTTATTATCACTGTTGTTAGCTTACACCTGCTCGTCTGCGCACTATGGCCGCTGTCAGCTACGCACTCATAATACAAAAGACAGTGTTCTCCGGGACAAAAAAAATTTCCCCATAAAAAGATGCCACTGCGAAAAATGTTCGCGGAAAACAGAAGATTCCAAACAAATGGTCCCAAGTTGCAAGTAGAAAAAAAAAGAAAACGGCTCCAAGGGGTAATAAAAAGATGATTTTCCGGGGAATTCATTTTTAAATGGACCAATATAAACCTTGCTAATTCACCCCTACAGAGTAATCACATTGTGGAATAGGAGGTTTGGAAGCACTGCCCCTCACAGCCATAAGTCACCCAATGCTGTCGAAGTCCATCGACGCCTGCCTAAGGAAATCGACCATAACCACAAAGATGGTCTAGGACCGAGTCGGCGCTCCTGCCAAAAAAAACGAGTTGCATTTCAATCAAAATGCAACCCCGTCTCAAGAACACCGGTGAGGAGTATGCCGCTATTTGAAGACTACCTGCGTGATGTCGGCTATTGGCGACGTGAGCGATCGAAAGCGTCGCTGTGGTCGGCCCACCACAACTGGCCGAATGCTGACTATGACGTCAGCAAAGGATGTCTCATCGACGGAAATAAGAGGAATCTAAGAACTTCAATTTTGACGGTGTTGGCAGCGTTGCTTTGAGAGCGCTGTGATTTCAGGCTTCCACTATGCCCATTACAAACACCATTGAACTTGTTCATAATGACGTCACGATAGGTAACCAAACGGGGGCGCCACCGAAACATCTCGCCGCTAATACCATGCATTCTGTTCTAACGTTTCTACGTGTACTGAGAATGTTCACGCTAATGCGTTCAAGTGCATCTCCCTGTACGTTTTCATAAAAGTAAATGACAGCACTCTAAGCCAGTATGACGTCGAAACACTGTTTATCATTTATCAGACTTCCCAGGAGGGGATAGCGTACTGGGAACTTTAATAAATGCCGAGGGGGTCACCCGCCAAATGAACACCTTTAATACATAGGGTATATAAGGTGGTCGCGAGTAGTCAAGGTGAGTGTGATCAGTGTGTTGCGAGTGCCTCATGATGTGCGTGTTCATTTCTTTTATGTGCTTCGTTTCTTTCATGTTCCATTCTTAAAAGAATTATAAGGTAAACATTTCTAACAAGTTGCAGGATTTGTTTAACGCAGTTGCAAATAGTTCTATTGAAACACAGTTGAAAACAATTAATTTAAATGCAATTGCTAAAAATTTAATTTAGACGCGGTGGTCAATAACTCGTTACGATTCAGTAGGAACTAACTCATAAGAAAAAATATTAATAGAGCTTCAGCTGAGGCTGAACGCGGTCTACTGAGTGAATTCTTGTACTTTCAAGTGAAACTCGCTTGATTCTTTTTTTTTTTTTGTACAGACCTTATTATCTTCCATTTTAAAATGAATTCTACGGGGAATTTGTTTTTCTAACCCATAGGGACAATTTTTCCTACTTGCCCCTCGGAGTCATTCTTTCCCGGGGGCATTTTATCCGGGGCCTTTTTTTCCGGGGCCGTTTCTTCCGGAGCCGTTTTTCCGGGGTCATTTTTTTCCTACACACGTTCGATACAGACATCATGACAGAATTATTTGCGGAAATGCCTCAAGCATCTTCAAAGGATGTTTGCCTTAATGTATACTCTAAGCATGTCTAGAGATGGTTTTCTTATGGACCAATGTTGCAGAATCATCATGCAAGGAAGGAGCCCGTCTCAGACTGTGGCCGCAGACTATCTTTTGTAACAGTGTCACTCTGGCTTAACTGTTCTCTCGTTAAGCAAACAGTGATGGAAACTAAAAACTTATACTTACTCTGATGACCACTGTCCTGGCAGATCAGGCTACGGACTTGGAGGGATCGTTTCTGAAAATTTAGCTCCAGCTGTTTGATTTCTTCGGAGCATCCACTGATGGTCAGTTGCCTCGTGCAAGAGAGTAGTGAGGTCACCTCCCTGCACACAGTTGCCAGAAACGGTGGTACTCAAGACTATTTGGGACATTTACCCAGGCGTCCTATGTCACGTGTCCGATGCAAAGCCCATAATACGGGGGCGATATGAAGATTATCCACACTTCGGTTCTCTTGAAACTTCTGTTGGCCGTACTGTATTATCAGAGCTTTTCGTACGAGGTCGCTGCCTCTCCGGTCATTGTTTTGCCGGCTTCAACATGTTAACCTGTGATTTGCGTAAAAAGGGAAAAAAAGGGGGGGGGGGGGGGGGGGCGGGGGGTCATTGCTTTTCCGGTCTGAGGGTGTGCCTGGTGCCGATATTTTTTGAAGGCTGTGTAGAGCATGAAGAATGTGGATTGTCGAAATGAAGTGCGTTTTATTGTATCCGGAAGTTCAAGGAAGGACGTACAAGTGTCAGTCATAAAGAAACCGGGCGCCCGTCCACGTTAACGACTGATGATGACATTGTACGCTGATCTGTCGGACAGACGACTGACAGAGGATGATGCGACCAATTATTTTGTAAATAAGTCAAGGCTTTGCCTATGCAATAATTCATGTCTGGCTTTGGCTTGTGGAAAGGTATTTATTAAAATACAATCTGCAACCAAAGGGCGGATAATTTTTGCATTACACTTCTATAGAATCAGACGCAGATTTTGTCAACGGTACCACCGGACTGGAAAATTTCTCTGCATTATGGCGCAAGGTTGATATGCTTACCGGCATGCAGCCTCCATCGTTTCCCTGTCGGGACCCTGTTTCGTCATTGTTGTCTCGATAATAGCATTTATTGGTTCTAAGAAGTCGTGGAGACAGTTCGTTACGTTCGCGTCGTCGCACTGTGAGGAGTCGCAAGAACCTGAGAAGAGAAATCGGTGTTCTATGGCTTTAAAAATACTAATATTTTCCCCTGAAGTAATAAACGACAACAATCTGCCTACGTATATATTTGCCCAGACACTGTATTACAATCAACTGAATTCTGTCTGAATCTGTAGCATTTATGTTTTTGTGTAATTTCAAGATTACCCTTCCCCTTCCTGCCCTTCCCAGGCGAAGACTTTCAACGATTTCTAAAAAAAATTAAGATGATAATATATCAGCAGCCTTAATCTTACTTTAAGAAAACAAAACGACGCAACAAACTTACCTTGCCCAACGAAGAGCATAGCCAGGAGAAATAGCGCGACTTGGCGGAATTCATTGAGGAAACCCATCGTTCTTGTAGCTGGTCAGTCCTATATATCGAGTGACTGTCTTGGAAGGTGGTACGTTCGTTGTTCCTTCGATGAGCACAATATATGCTATCTATAACTGTAGCGGCTATACGATCAACGCCATGATCCGACAGGCGTTCGGCACCGGAACCTCGAAGGCTCCAATGTCTCTTTCCGGTGTTATCAAACGTCGCTTATCTTTGGACGAAGATACTCGCGAAGAATGCTATCTTGACGCGAGCGGGGCGTTGGCGATATGTGTGACCATATACGTTCACGATAAAGCCCTAGTCCCGCTGCTCGTATACATCGTACACAAGACACGATGTTACCAGCAGACATGGTGGCTAGAATTATTCGAGGACTGGCCTCCCGCATGTTCGAAGCTGTTTGCTTTATACCCATGTATATGCTCCAAACCTGTCTGCTTTTGTATGGCCAATGTGACAGCGCAGCCATACAAGGAAGACACACGCCTCAGAGAATGTGTGCAGGCTGTCTCTTGTTTTAACAGTGGGGCCGCAGGGTAAATGTTTAACCGAGAGCTAAGGTTATCTTCTAACGTTTGAGATGACTGAACATTGGGACGTAACGTTGAAGCACTTTCTTCTGTAGATGGCTCTACAGACTTATAGCTTAAATAGGAACCCAGGGCTAAAAAACAGTTTTCAAGCTTTTTATGACTATTACCTACTTGAAGTTATATTTTCTTCATCTTATTGGAATGAAATATTTGAGTGTCGCAGTTTTGCCGATCATCATACCCCAGCAGTGAAGCTGACAAAGAAGCCAGCGTATCTTCAAGGGGCACTGAAGTGGTTTCCGAGACTGTTCATTTGTGGTCCTAACTCAATCTGTGGGCTCTAACGTTTCTGAACAAAAGGCAGATTAGGTTGATCTGCGAATGATTTTCCTATTAAAAACAAAATAAAAGATGGTGACTTGACGATTGCGATTCGACGCAGAAACTTGCAGAGGGCAACATTGGACGTGCGGCGACCAGTCACGAATGATCGCTCCTTGCGCGCCAAGCCCACTGATCCGAAATTCAGTCAGTCGTCAGTTGGCTCCCTTGCCGCACGGGAAGCGATCGCTCGCTGGCGATTGCCTGTCACACGTCCGTCGGCGCCCTTTGGTATCTGCGCCGAATCGCAGAGATTTTTCTCGCGATTTCGCAAGTGCGGTGGTGAGCATCGCAGCTTCCACCACGCTTCAGCACGAGCGACGTCGCAACTGCGAAATCGCTATAAAAGCGTGTCGAAATATTTGATACAGTTTTTAATTGGGATATCATACCCGTATCAACATAATCGCAGTCGCTTTCTTAGAAGGCTTAGAAGCCGCAGATTGAGTAGTGATTACAAATAGACAATCTCAGAAATAACCGTAAGTTCACAAAAACAACGAGTTTGGGATACTAAATATCAATGTTAAGTCTGGTAACGTTGTAATTTTGCCGAATCATTGCCAAATCTTTAGAAAAGTTGGACAAACGTCGCGCCGAATTTTCGATCTGGGGGGGGGGGGGGGAAAGGGTGCCCGAGTTTCCTAGTGATTCTGCACTGTTGCTTCATCCCAATGAGCGAAACCGAAAATCAACGTGCGTTCCAAACTGCCCATCGGCGCAACGTTTGTCCAACTTTTCTAAAGATTTGGCAATGATTCGGCAAAATTACAACGTTACCAGACTTAACATTGATATTTTGTTTTTTCTCACGAAAAAAATTTTGCTTCTTCTTCTTAAAATAAATACAACTTGTAGTGCCTATTGAAAGAGTTATGACTAAATAAGGTGATATTCTAGAAGATAATTGTATCGATGTCGCTTTTGTGTGTTTACTTGTAATTTCTGTGTATGCTTCCAGAAAGTGGCGTGACAACGAGGTTGGGTAGTAGCCGGCACAGTCACGAATCACACTACGAGAGCTTTGATTTTGAGGCTTCATCAGCGCACGCCTGCAAGTGTGTTTACATTGTTAAAATAAAGGCAATCACTGCGTTCTTACTTTCTCTGGTAGTCGCCGTTTCGTGCGCGAAAACGGATGCAACGGTTGCTGAGCCTTCACCAGAAGAGATAACAATATTGTAAATATGCATGTTTTTCGATTTGAGTCACTTGACGTCAGCTTTGCATGAAAGTGCGCGTTCCATATTCGCAACGTGCCGTTTTTAACCTTTAAGATTCCGGTTTCTGGTGTGAGAGTGGATTATGTCATTAAACAAGTATAAACGCAAACTAATCCACTTCACCAAGAAAAAAAACAAACACTGTCATTTAATTACTTCTTGTACTCCGATCTGATTGAGACCGCTACTGTGTATAAATACCTTGGTGTAAGACTAACATCTGACCTTCCCTAAAATAACCACATTGAAGTCATTACTGCCGATTCATCTGGAACTCTTGGACTAAGCAGACGTAACTTAAAATGGGCTCCACCCTTTGTTCGTAAGCTAACCTTGGACACGTACGTCAGACCAAAAATAGAATATGCTTCAACCATCTGGAATACCCATCGACTGTACCTCATCAATACCCTGTAGAGGCAGTTCAGAACAGAGCTGCTCGCTTCATTTCATTCACTTATGACTTTTTTTTTCAGTGTCTCAGCGCTAAAAACTGAATTAACCAGGTCCTCTTTGCAGCTTCGCAGAAAAGTCTCTCAGCTGTGCTTTATTCACAAAATCTACTACAACATTCCCGACCTCAAAACCACTTTGTTATTACCCCCCGACCGAACATCTTCTCGCCTCAACAACGTCTGCACCATCAAGCACATTTCTGACTCTACTAACGCTTTCAATTGGTCATTCCTTTCTCAAGCCATCAGCCACTGGAACAGTCCCCCATCCTCCATTGTCACCATCTTGGACCCTGCTGATTTCTCCTCTGCAGTAAAACTACACCTTTCTTGGCCCATGTGATGGTGTGCGGGGCTAGGCAGATAGGTGAAAACCCTTACGCAGAGCGCCTGCCGGGCCAGACTTGTACGTAGTTCAACTATTTTACTCAAGTTACTGTAGTTTAACTACTTTTCTGGGTAGTTTAGTAACTTTTAATTACATTTATATTCTAGTAATTAGTAGTTTACTTTAACTACTTTTCCGAGTGACTTCCACTCAAATTACAAATTACTTTCTAATTTTAGTGGTTGTTTTGCCTATCTACACAGAAAAGATGTCGGAAGGTCAGCTGATATTTGCAGAGGGGGAAGCATGCGGAGTAGAAAAGGGGGGGGATGGGAAGGAAGAATGTGATTTAGATAGTCCAAAAAACCCCAAAATTTTAACGAGCCCCCCCACTGCAACAACACTGCTACGAGGCGCGGGGAGCGAACAGACACGACGCAAGAGAGGTCGAGTAACTGTGGGATTAGCTCCGAATAGTGGCGTTTCTTTGTATTCCGAAGCTCAAGGAGACTTGACGCATTTGAAGAAAGGGCTTGTCCCCGCTTCTCTCCAATGTAGGAATTCTTGCCCACTACAGGAGGTGCACACACTGCTCCTTTAACGGTGCAGGCGATAGAACCCCTAACAACGACGCTCACGCCGGATGGGCTGCTCGTGTATCACTCGAAGCGCGTTAACCCGCCCCCGCGCCTGCGTTCACGCCGCTTCGCGGTGACGGTGTGCGGCTGCTAATTACAAATCTATTAACCCACCTAGCCCCCCCACCCCCCGTACACGCCGCTTTGCGGCGTCCGGTCGGCAACCCAAGCCCCGCTGCCCCCCATGCACTTCCGTAAATAGAGTCGATACGATTTAGTTTAGCGATGTTTCGTCAACAACATTCGTTTTTTTAGTGTTAATGGTAAAAAAGAAATGTAAATATCGCCAAATGCCTCGACAAAACAAAATGTTCGAGAAAAAAAATAAAAAGAAGTAAGCCGGCCCACACCATAAATAGAACCCGGGTCTGACACGTATGAGGCAGACATCTCACCACTAAGTTACGCTACCTCTTCGGAAACTCGCATTGCATCCGCTGCCTATGTTGACGGCGGCAGCGCCTATCTCCAAGCAAGCAAGCAAAACTTTATTTTGTGTAAGGGCCTACGTCCTGGTCTGGACGGCCCGTCCGGCCCATGTCTCGCGGATGGATTCCGTTAGGTTACCGTGTAGCCTTGTTCGTGGGGCAAGGCTCCACAAACCAGCCAATCCGGCGTGCGTGAGCACCGTTGCGATGATATTTTGACGTTTCACGTGAAAGTTCTGGGTACTTGAGCGCAGCAGAAGCTACAAGAGCGAGTTCCGTGCTTTGAACGGGCCTTCCGAGCGGTGCCATCAGTTGTCGACCGACGTCTCATCGACAAAATATTTCGTATACTGCGACGTAGCATTGACAATTCGTTTCATCGAAAGGTTCCTGGGATCGTTTCATCGACACACCTCGTGACGTTTTGTCGAAAGCGTCTGTCCGCGCACAATGCCTTTATCGCCGGCATCCGGATGGGCCTATCTGGCCGAATCCTTGGCGGTTCCGATGAGGGCTGATACAAGTTCGGTCCTGATATTATATTGAAAGTTTCCCCGAGCGAAGTAAGGGGTTTGCACGCATAGCACGAAGTGTTTGGAAGTCCAGGATTAGGACTCGCTAGACTTCTTCCAAAACCGACGCGCCCCATCGCGGCGAAATACAACGCAGTTCACTCTGGGAACTAGTTGGCCACTCACTTTCGGTTTTGACTGAGCAGCTTCATCTGATGCTATCACGCCGCGACCGAACGCGCTGCTTGCGTTTTCGATAATCTGACTTTTTAGTATTTACGAATGTACAATACACTCATACTCGAGCGATACCAAACGGAGACCGGAGCACTTTTCTTGGTTCCCGAAACACTCGATATTGTACGTGCGTCTGGAAACGTAGTAAGACGTGGCTTAGTCACCTCATCCACGAGTGCATCTTTGAGCTCAATGTCAGTAATCCCGCCTAGTAGCAGTGAACTACAATGGAAATTTGATCACCTTGAACCCTACACGTATTTTGTTTGCCAAACGTCCGCTTATTGTTACTTCACTGGGCCCTCCTCAAGAGCTGCGCTATAATTCGGCATGACAGGGAGTTGTAAAAGGCTTTCACTTCTTTTTCTTGATGTGTAAACGAGCATAAATGTAGGGAGAAGCGTATTACTAATTTTTCCCTTTATGTGAATAATTAAG